TAAACATCTGATTTAACAAAAAAAAAATACAAATCTTAAATTTCATAATATAGTTTGAAATATATTAATCATTTAATGGCATGTACCCTACCCCATACATTTGTGAATTAACTATTTTACTGATATATTGAAATTATTATTTGGATTGCAGACTAAATCTTTTCATTTTAAAAATAAAGGGACAGAAAGTGCTTTTACAACCTATCCAGTGCTGCAAAGCAGTCCAGAGGTTTGTGGATTTTGTGGCCTAATTGTTGAAAAACCCTTTCAGGAGACAAAAAGCGTGCCTAAAGCCGTACTTTTTAAACTTTTTTCCCCTTTTCGGGCCGATTCTCCAATCCTGTGAGAATTTTTTTGACTTTAACATCAGAATTCTGACTTTAATCTGAGAATAGTGGATCTTAATGTAGATGGGCGCCATGAAGGCAGAGATGTGGAGCACATCATTACGCGACTTTTTACGTGCCTGAGGAGCGCCTGGTGATGCTAGTTCATTAATGGAAGTCAGAATTCTAAGATTAAAGTCAGAATTCTGACTTTTTTCTCATGTTATACTGAAATAAAATTTAATAATCAGTTAACTTTTTTTATTTTTTAAGTGGCCCTAATCGTCTTCCGTAGAATAAATCCTGTGAATGAGTTTGAATGAAACCTCCTTCACCTACCCCTGCTCTGTCCTTTTATTTCCACCGGAAGTGACGTGCAAATTAAGAGCCAATTGGCCATGATTGTTTTCGTCACGTGCCATGCTGCATAAAGCGCTGATTGCAGGTGTGTTTGTGAATGGCCGCCGCAGCTCTCTGTGGATCAAACCTTCCTGAATGATGCTGGTCTGATTCTCTGTGCTCAGAAGGAGCTGCTGGTCTAACTGCCGCCTGCTTGTATCCGCTGCCACGCGTGGAAACATGTCCGCTACTGTAACCAGGAAGGAAAGGGGCACTGTCTCTTTAAATGTGTCCCCCTTCACTCACAAACGAGTCCCCGTCCTGAGCCGTTTTTATCCCGTTTATATTTAAATTCTCTGTGTTTGTCCAAAGGCTCTGCCTCCATAAAGCACATAAACAGAGTTTAGGTAAAGACACCCACCCTCAGTGTGAAACACGGCGGCTCCTCTGCGCGGCGAGTCCGGTCCTCCTCAGCAGCACAATGGACAACATCTTCCGCCTGTTGTCCTCACGGTCTGAGAGGCTGGAGAGCAGCGGGAGCTGAGCTCAAACATGCACGCCTGCCTCCTCCCAGCTGCAGCCCGCTTCCGGGACTCCTTAGGCGGCCGATTGTTTGGACGGAACCGGGCCGAGTTCCAGCAGCAGCAGCAGCAGCGCTGGGAGCGGAGCTCAGCCTGGAGCTGCTGCTCAGCAAAGTACCAGGATGTGGGACCTGGAAGCCGCTCCGCGTTTCACAACAAACACAGGGACGATGAAAAAATAAAACTCCCAACTGTCATTTCAAAATATTTATTTTGCAATAAAAAAATAGAAACTGACTATTAATCTATGTGCACCCCCCCCCTCCACAATATTTAAACGTTAATAATATTAACCTTTTTTTTGTTAGAAGAGCTGAAAATGTTGTCAAATAAACAGTGGCGGTTCTAGACCAAATGTAACAGGGGGCCAGGAGGGGGCCAGCGTGTTTTCATGGGGGCCCAGAGAAGCATGAAATAAGAAACAGACCAAGGGATTCAAATACATTAAAGTCGTAGATAAGTCATATTTAAATGTCAAATCATTCTGGCTTAAAT